GAATCTTATTCTATTAAATGAAAGAAACAAAAGTGGCATCAATGCATAAGAATTTTCGTTCTCGCATTTATCAGAAAGACAAACTTCTTGAGGTCATCTTCTGTATTTAATGAGAAGCAATTTGCTTTTTCTTTTTATCAAATAAAGGAATTATTCATCGAGACTATATTCATACCGATCTAAGAATCAGTAACGAGCATTCGCCGCAAGCGTCAATATCAATATTGACGATATATATATATATATATCGTGTCTTCTTGTCCTACACGCACAAGTCTATCATTTCTTTCATATTAACATTATGTCAGCCACTTGTATCACTTACACGTTGCTGCTGTTGACTATTATCGTTGCTTCCATTCAATCAGAACGTGTCCTTCGCACTTATGTTATGAAGAAAGATCGTATCATGCCGGACTTCAGACTCCCTGAATATTCAATTTTCGATGCAACCGAAAAACAACTTCAATATCGCATCGAGACTTACGATTCCGACATTCACGCAGTCGTGCTTACTGCCTATCCATCGAAAGAACTCGTGGCGAATCTTGAAGGCGAATGGACACAAGAAATCAAGAATGCAACGTTTTCCATTCTCGATAGCCGCTCTAATCAATGGATAGATGGAACTATCACAGAAAATTATCATTTTTTCAGTTTCAAATACACGATCAATTGGAACGGAAAGCGCTTTGTAATCAAGAGCAAACTCTTCACTAGAAGTGAAATACGCGATGAAAAGAGTCGCGCGGTGCTAGCAAAACTTGAGGAAGGCCCATCGCTTACCAAGTACAATTTGCAAATATTTTCTGACAAAGTACCCGATGCAGTCTATTTCCTTGCAGTGGCCGTTTTGGATCATAGATATATGGTTACCATTGAAAGAGGTTAACGAAGAAAATATTCATATAAAATGTACGAGTTCTTAAATAATAAAAAGTTTTGATCAATTTCATTTCTCAGGATTGTATCGTAATTTTCAAGAGTTGAGACGATTTATTTCGACATTTGATCATTGAAACGTGTTGAAGATGCTCAACATCAAACCTGTAGGAAAAATTCAATACGTAAATCTTTCATCATGAGTTGTATCGACGAGACCAAGAGATAATCGTTTTTTATAAGCTTGGTTTGATATTTAACAAATATAGATCACTGGGAATATTTCTACAAAGCTTATCACTAGACTTTTCTTCATGCAAAGATGCAGAGAGCATGTGACTTCTGGTACAAAATACGTCTATAGACTCATATTCGTTGATCCGCATCATATAATACATACTCATAGAGAAAGTGTTGCTTGAGAAAAGAAAGAACACATTAAAAAACACACTTGCATGATGCATAAATGTGACCCTCTTACGTTTCTTTTTTTTAACATGAAAATAATTTGTTTTGTTTCAGCTTATCTTACTTTCCATGTTTTACACATCTTTGCTTTTCTGATCTTTTTATAATGATGATGACAATATGTTGACATAGAATGCATACCTAGATGATGTTTCTACTTGAAAATAAATGTGAAAAGATCGTTGTTTTTTGTTTTTTTGTTGTCCGGTTTAAAAAATTTTCATCTCTTCGAGAATCATACAGAAATTTCAAGCAACTTATGAAAAGTTTTTAATTCTAAATACAAGTTTCTGAAATTGCTAAACTTTTCAAAATTTCTTTTCTTTTTTTGAAAATTTGAATATTGCTGTTTATAAGAACGAGTGAAATCTCATCACATTAATTTTCTATGAAATTAGTCACAATTATCATTAGAATATTTTTTAACACTTTTGAAAACAAGATCAAATTGATTTAGCCCATTTACGAAAAAATATATTGCATCAATAGTTATACGCTATTTGTATTGCAAGCATGTGTGAAACTAAAAAACAAAAGTAATTTTTCTTGTTGTATTATATGTATTGGCAAATAAAAGTTTCATGTCATTTTTTATTGCTTTATTTTATTAGTAAAAAAAAGCAAAAAGAAAACAAATAAAAAGTAAATAACTTTATTGTTGAATATAAATATCAACAATTAGTCATTGGGTTTTTTTTATCTATATATTTTTATTTGATAAATATTTACATAAAAAAATTTTTTTTTTCAAGTTATAATTCTATTCATTTAAACAATCTTTCATCCATTATTTGCACATCATTATATTGTTCGTAGAATTGCCGATGACCGAGAATAACGATGATTCTTTTGTTTTTTTGTTCCGTAGTATTATTGTCTTTCTAATCCATATTCAAATTAAGAATAAATATTATTTTGATGTAAAATAGACAAATACATGATCATGAACATCTATCAAAAGGTAATATGTCTTATACTTACCTTTTAGTATTAATACATTCGACGAATATACTGGTACCCTTATTACAAAGTAATACTTCATTCATACGCACTTCTATAATCGTGATGAATGATGTATTCACTTGAAGTAAGGGCCTCCAGTGGTATGACTCGTGGGGCCCGTTAGCTTCATCTTTCGATAGAAGAATGCCGGGCTTCCCCACATTTCAATATGTGTTGGAACGTACCACCCGAAGACCGAAGAAGGCATTAGGAAACTATAAAAAAGTCTCCAAACTACGAAGTATTGTTGAAATAACGCGATAACTCTAACAGTGACAAAGTTGCGACACTGAACTGTTAAGAGACAAACGAGAAATTGTAGTTTTGCAATGGTATACATCGCCTTTTATACTCTCATCGTCGAGTATCGTTATTACACAATCAAGCGGCAATCATTTCATTGCAATTGTGCAATATGCACCCTTTCTTGTTTTTTTTATAAGGGTTACAAGATAAAAACACGAACAGTCAATAAGGGGCGAAAATAATTTCATTTCCACGTCATATTCTTGCTCAATATATAAAACAGAAAAAATAAAATTTAAGACTGGTACTTATCAAATATTATCTGTTGGTATGTGTTTCTTTTACATTGGTTGATATTAAAGCGATACACAAATCAACAATCTAATTATTATTAGAAATACAATATTAAGTATATTTTTACTTCAATATTTAAGTAACATTCGATTATTAAAAATGCTGAATAGGATTTCGAAATAATTGAAATATGACAAACGAATTTTGCTCAATTGTTTTATACCATTCTAATTATAACATTCAATTGAACATACGAATGAATAGAGGATACTTTGAATATCATAGAAATCCTTATAGAATTTTTCTAATCTTACTGAGTTCTACTAGTGAGTAAAATATCACTTCGATCGTCGATTAACAACTAGATATGTTCCCTTGTCAGATAAATGAAACGTGCCAAATTTTTTCACGAAATCTAGTTTTATTCAGTCCATATTCCATAATGATCTAGTAAAAGAAAGTTAGCGTGTCAATAGCTGCCTAGCTCAAGTTTTTAAACTACATCAGCAAAGCAATAAAAGATCGATATTTAAGGTCTGAGGTTTCATCATGAAAAGTCTGGAATGTCAACGAAATTTTTGAAAGAATATCATATGAAATCGCATCCAAAACAAGCATGTTTGTCAGATCTGAACCCATATTACTTCTTCCTACCTTTAAAACTCAAATATCAACTACATGGAATGCAGTTCAACGTTGTTGTTAATTGCATTAAAACAAACTATAAACAGCCTCACAAAAGATGATCTCAAAAACAACTTTCGTAATCTGGTTTAATTGAATGCATGGAAAAACGACAATTAGTCGCAGTGTAGAATCAGTCATATAGTCGATAGAAGGGTGATTCTTTTTCACATCCCACAAATCTCAACCTGTACATACGTGATTTAATCGTACATAGTACAGCGCAAGGGTGAGTTCGTTGTGTGAAAAATGAAGATGTACCCCATGGAATGAATAATTAGAGAATCTCGCTGAAAAACAGTAACTGAATGTCGATATTTATCTTTTTTATTAATCTGAATGTTTAGAAATGACTAAAGCAATATTCATATTGAAATAGCGAAAACTTCAATAGGCGAAAGCTCCAGAATAAATAAAACACACCCATAGCTTTGGTAAACATTTGTATCTATACTCATATCTAATGTTCGTTGTCTATGAGCAGATTGTCAGTTATTTTCTTGACTTCTGTGAATTGTTTCCCTGTAATACTAACAACATTGTTTTTGCAATTTGAATTTCCCGCATTACGACGAATTCTATACTGTAGTTATTTGTTGTAGACTCTGAATGTCCAAGTGCATTGTTAATAAGGGATAATACTTTGGAAAACAACTAGATTCGATTCCTCAAAATTGGAATCGGAACCATTTATCAAATATCAAACACCAAGCAACTAATATTAGTTTTTTCAGAAATTTCGATATTTCTTTTTTTGAAATTGTTCATACAAATATTTTATTAATCCTTCGAGGACGGAACTTTGTTTTTCAACTGAAAAGTGGTTCTTGAACCCTTTTATTGTGTTTGGCTCAAAATAATCACATAAAAACTATATGATAATACATTAAGAGAAAAGAGGAAGGTATTATGATGCCAGTGTATAGCAGCAGAAAGAGAGGAAAACATTTAAGAGGGATCTATATAACAGAATGAAAGAGAGAATACATATGCATGAGATGGAAGATAGAACGATCTATTATCTTACAGATCAAATCTATTGTTCACGATTTCGGGTACAGGAAAGTGAAAAATCTCGATTCCAGTTTTCTTGGAACCGCCGAGCTCTAAAAACAACAGTAAAACTAATTGTCGAATAATTGTCTAAAGTGCTAATGAGAAAAACTTTTCAAATGATTCGTTGTATGTTCCACAGATTGAAAAAATTCTATAACCTTTATCCTACTTAATATAAATAATCATATGAAAAAAAATTTAACAAAAATAAAATAAAATAATCTTAACAAACATCAATTTTCTTATGAGTAAAATTATGTCGTAATTGAATAACATTCCAAGCTTTTCGATATTTCATATATCTTTCCATTTCTGTACCACCACCACCAAGATGAAATGATGATGAACATACAGTTAACATTGGATTATTAACCATTAACCATTAAACATGAACAATTAGCTGATGGTGTTTGATCAAAATCAATTGCAATACCAGTACATTTTACATTTGCTTCTTTAGCTAAAAATCCTGATATAAATACATCACCTATCCAAGCTGTTTTATGTAATGGATATGTATATGATACATTTACAAGTTGATCACGAATATATTTTGACATAAACCAACCAAAACCAGAACAATATGCTGGAAGTACAGGATGTGGCCAAACTTTTTCACTAACACCAAATTTTCCACCACCACGTAATGTTGGTTGATAATCCATAGCCCAACCACCACGAAAAAATCTTATTCGATCAGATAATATTATATTTGATAGAAGTGTTGGACGATGTTTTGTAATAAAAGAATTATCATTTGAAGTATTTGTTAAAAGTAATTTAACAACAGATGATATTAAAATTGTATCAACAATTAAATCATCATCTGTTTTAAATAAATATGGAATATCATGATAAAAATAATATGACCATTGTAAAGCAGCCATTTCTTTATAAAACAACATGTGAATAACTTTCAATATGATCTATTTGAATAATATCTTGATATTTATTTTTTTCATTGTTAACTTGCAAATTAATTTCACCAGCATTATTTATTACACCTGGAATTTGTCCAAGAATAAATACAAAACAGACACCATTCTGTTTTGATGCCCATGTTGAACGTATGACATCTCGTCGTTGAACATTAGTTACTGTCGATAAAATATAAATAATTAAATAATCATTTTTTTGACATATTGCTGTATTTGATGTTAAATCTAATCAACTATCAAGATATACAATTGAAATATTGTTAATTTCTTTTGGAATTTTAGGTAATTTAATATATAGTTTTTCAGGTAATGTAATATTTAGTGGTGTTTCAAGTAATGTAATATTTGGTGGTGTTTCAGGTAAGGTAATATTTGGTGTTGATTCAAGTAATTTAACATGTGGTAATTCATGTAATTTAATACTTGGTGGTGTTGCAGGAAATATTTTACTATAAAATGTTATGTATAAAGAAATAGTAAATAATATTAAAAATATTACAACAGATACATTTGATGGACAGTTTTTTCGAATGAACCACATTCAAAATATAACATTAACACATTCGATGTAATAAGAGAAAAAAAAATCTAAAAGGAAAAAAAAAAGAGAAGAGAATAAATATGTTCGTCAGATTTATGACATGTATTTTATGTTCTTATTCTAGTTCGAACTATTTGATTACAGTCGTTCTGTTTGACAAAGATGAATTTTAATTCTTATCAAACATGTGGTTAAAATCAATCTTTGAAGTTGTACATAAATCGAAAAAATATTCGTTAGTTCTACTGATATAAAGTCATTTTATTATAGATTATATTATCACACGCATTTATATATCAAGCTGAAAAATTTACCTCTTATCTCTTTCAGTTTTATAAAACCAGAATTGTATAATATTCCATAATAATTTAATATTTGGTTACTATAATATCACATAATGAAAGAAAGTTGGATTTCTTGCATAATGGACTTATTATTTGGTATCAAACAAAAAGACAATATACTGTTGTTTATACAGGATTCTCTGAGAATTCTTAATAAATCTAATCAATCCAACCAATAAGAAAAATAATTATATTTATTCTTTCTTTAGACGATGATTATGATACGAAAGGAAGACTCTCAAAATAGAGTAAATAAAAAGAAAGAATGAACAATACATCTAACACAATTCCGTTCTTTTTTCTGATGCTGGTATTACGCTGGGTTCAAAAGAAAACATTGATTAGAAGAAATAGGAAGCGATGCCTTTCATATTTCTTTTTTAAAAAAAAGAAAATGTGTCATTGGAGTCAGTCCCGTGCTCGTTTGTCTGTAACACTTAGTGGCGGAACCAGGATTTTTTGGTATGCTGTAGCTCAGCTTTAGAGCATGGGATCCCAATGAGATTTATGGAGATTGATATTGGTCCCAAATGATGACTTTCTATGAAACGATTTTTACGATCAAAGTTTGCGAAAAAAATTAGCATTTTCCTGAGCTCCCCCAAGAAATTTTTAATACTTTTAGTAGTATTCGCTTTTTGAGAATGCCATTGTAAGCTACGTTGAATTTCATCGACAGATTTCAAATTTCATCTAAAAATATTCATCCGTTTAGGAGTTATGGCTTCTTGAAGTTTTCCTACATTTCAAAAAATTTACCTCAGAAGTTCAAAACGTTATAACTTCTAAATGGATGAATATTTTTAGATGAAATTTGAAATCTGTCGATGAAATTCAACGTAGCTTACAATGGCATTCTCAAAAAGCGGATACTACTAAAAGTATTAAAAATTTCTTGGGGGAGCTCAGGAAAATGCTAATTTTTTTCGCAAACTTTGATCGTAAAAATCGTTTCATAGGAAGTCATCATTTGGGACTAATATCAACCTCCATAAATTTCATTTGGATCCCATGCTCTAAAGCTGAGCTACAGCATACCAAAAAATCCTGGTTCCGCCACTAGTAACACTGTGATCATTTCTACTTAAAACAACATTTGAGTAAAAGAAAAATATTCTTCTCTTTTTTTCTTTCTTTCTCTACTTTTCTTCTATGGACGATGTCAATACAAAAAATTTTGTTTTTTCTTTGTGTAGCCTGAATTTCATCCTTCAGTGTGCGTGAAAATTAGTAATGTGAAGCATGAAAGGGTTGGTAATGTCATTTTAATTCATACATTGTACATTTGTTTGAAGAAAGAAGAAACTAATCCAGTTAAACTAAAAGCAAAGAAAAATATGTGAAAAACAAAAATTTCTATTTTTATTAAATTTTGATACATTCTGTTCATGTATAGAAATATTGTCATTGATTGTCTCTTTATAAATTTCATGGTGAATATTGTTATCAACTTTATAAAGTCATTTTAAAAAGATGATTTGTATGACAATTCGGTTGACTATTGCGATCGATTATATAATATATATATATTCATTCATTCATTCATTAAATATTCAAATCTTCGAAGTATTAAGTGTTGATTGTCTAGGTCAGCTTATCAATTACAACTGTTTATGTACACCTTATGGCAAAACAGTATTACCTTGGTAATTAAAGTGCAAAGCACTTATCCTTCGTCGAATTCTTCATTCAAAGTTCAAAATTTTGCGAAACAATGATGTCAAGAACGGTACATCGTTTGATGTTCGTTGAAATGTCATTTGAGACATTAAGATTTTTATATAAAAGGAATTTAATCCGATTTTCAGTATGATGTTTCGTTCATCGAAAGTAAAATCCAGATGTTATAAATAATCTATGAATTTCGTTTTCATTATGTCAATAGAATGAAGTGAGAGTAGACGCTGGGTATTTGCAATGATTAATTATCGCTAGCACTAATAATAATCCATCAATGGACAGTTGTTGACATCTTTTTTGGTATTTAGTACAATTCTGTAGAGGGGTTACAAGTAATACCATTTGTTATGATTGTTCAGGAAAAAACAAGGATGAAAAATATCAAAGTTTTTTCTGTATCAAAAGGTTTGTATAAATAACCGAACAAAACTTTGCAAGTTGTAGATGATAATGAGTATTTGATATTAATATAAATGAAACAATTTCATTCATTCGCATGAATACAATAGATAAAGTTGATTTACAAATGTCGCTAAATATCGATATTTATTGTATTTAAACAAAATGCTTGGTGAAACTCGACATAGTTTCTCAGCGATTTCTCAATGTGAACAAATTGAATTAAGAAGTATGTTTTTCCATAATAATCGGAACAAGACTAGATGTAAATTTCACAATAAACTTCAATAATAATAGTAAATTTTTATCAATTCAATAGATATTACACTTTGCGCTGAGCTCAGATGCCATCTAGTTTAGAATTATATGTTTGCTAAAATGTTCCATGTAATCTATATGGACAAATTGTACTTCATTTTTTTAATTGAATCTACTGTTAATCTTAATGTTGATTTTTTCTCTTTGGACAATACTTTGATTGATATTTTTCATCTATGACGTGAAATTTAGTATCATTAAATTTTCACAAAAGCTAACGTTTTGATTATAGCTTTTAGATATAGGGTGTTCCAAAAGATCATCCAGAAAGTTCACATGAATAATTCTAAAACGGTTCAAGTGATTTATAAATTTTTTTAATAATATTATAGTATATTCTGTGAAGTTTTATTCTGTATATTTTCCGACAAATATCTATGTTTGAAAAAATTAGAATAGAAATAGTTTTCTTAATGGCCAAATTTGAGTAACCTATCATTGTCAAAAGGAAAAATGCAAGTCGAATTCGGCATATCAATGGCAGACGTAGACTGTACTAGAGATGCTTTTCAACAATTTTACGAAAATTAATATAGTAGTAAATGGGTAACAATGTGAAAGATGACATTCAAAAATGGAAGAAGAGAAAATCAACGAAGTTCATGATGCTTATGAAAATGTGCCACTAACGAGTATTTCGAATCAAACTTCACCTATAGAAAGCAATTCCTGCTCTTCTTCCTGTTTCATTCTTCTCTTGCGTGTCACACTGTTCTATTGTCAAATAGTCTTGATCTCGCATTGATTGGAAAAACAAACTTGCCACGGTAGTTTTTTGTGTTCCATGATTATATAGTCGTTGTCACGCTTCATCGATAAAGTATTCATATCGATATAACTGTTGATGATCATTACTTTTACACTGACATGATGTCTACTGCTTGCATTGTCGTTAAATCACTGCTGTTGGGGACGATAATTGTTCTCATCAGTTCAAAAAGTAATTCTTCGCATTTATACCATTCAAAACGATCCTGCCATAGAAGAAAGACTAGGCAAATTTTCCATCTTCGATTCGACCGAGAGTCACAGCCAATATCGCATTGCTGTACTTTATTTAGAACGTGAATGAATGACAAACATCAATAATGCAAATTTTTCTATTCTCAATGCTCATTATAATCGATAGATACAGAGAAATATCACGTAAAACTCGTATTTAATTGTGTACAAATACACCATCCTGTACAAGGAAAAGTAAGGTGATCTGCCTTATCATCCGTCAAATTCGATTGGAGTGTATTTTCCGATCTAGTGCACGATACAATCTGTTTCTTTGCACTTCTCGTCATGCATCACCAAGAAATGTATGATACACAACACTAATTAACAACATAAAATGACAGAATGAAACGGTATGAACTCCTAAGTATAAAAAAAATATTGACTGAACTCGTTGTTTATTACGATTTTTTTGAAATGTTCAAGAGTTGCTAATATTGATTTCCAGTTTTCAGCATTGCATCGGGCTTAGTTGGGTTTTCATATTACGAATTCTATCGAATGGAATAATTATTTCGGCTACATCCGCACTGTAATCTATACTGAAAAGGAAGAGATCTACTGATGGAACAGTCATATGTTATGTGCTACAGCAAATAGAGGGCGTCTGAAAAATTATTCTTGAATAAAAGTAGATATCGTAAGTAAGTTTTTTACAATTTTGA